AGTGCTACATCCAACTCCTTGAAATTGTACAATGTTTTGGCTTGACTGCTTTTGTGGTAGAAAATCCACAGACCCACCATTCTGGGTAAAGAAATTTCTTCTCAATCCTAAAATGGTTTATCACGTATCCTTAGACTGAGAGCCCTAGTTCTGGACTATCTAGTCATCAGGAATTTCCTTGTGTTTATCAGTAAAGACCAGTTAAAACCCAATAGATTTCTTTGGAGGTCCCCACTCACTCTTGTGAACTTCAATGAATATCGTCCTAACTGATCCAGGCTCTCCTTCATACGTTAGTCCTACCATCCCAGGAATCAATCAATCTGGTAAACCTTTACTGAACTCCCTGGATACCCAGAACAGCTTTGCTCAGTGTAAGCAGCCAATACTGCACATTGTCTCTGACAAGGTGGCGCACAGGAGGCTGAGTAAGATAAGGGCCCATGGCGTTACAGGCAAGGTACTAGCATGGGTAGAAGATTGGCTGTCTGGCAGAAAGCAGAGAGTGGCATTAAAACGGACTTTCTCAGAATGGCAGCCAGTGACAAGTGGTGTTCCACGAAGGTCAGTTTTGGGACCACAACTTTTTACTTTATACATTAATGATCTAGATGAAGGAACTGAGGGCATTCTGGTTAAGTTTGCTGCCGATACAAAAAGATAGGTAGAGGAACAGGTAGCATTGAGGATGCAGGAAGGCTGCAGAAGGATTTGGACAGGTTAAAAGAGTAGGCAAAGAAGTGGCAGTTGGAGTACAACGTGGGAAAGTGCAAGGTCATGCACTTTGGTAAGAAGAATAGAAGCATGGACCATTTTCCAAATGGGGAGAAAATTCAGAAGTCTGAATTGCAAAGAGACTTGTGAGTTCTAGTCCAGGGTTCTCTCAAGGTAAACTTGCAGGTTGAGTAGTTAAGAAGGCAAATGCAACTTTGGCATTTATTTTGAAAGGACTCTAATATAAAAGCAGGGATATACTTCAGAGGCTCGAAAAGGCTCTGGTCAGGCCACATTTGGAGTATTGTGCGCAGTTTTGGCCCCATACCTCCGGAAAGATGCACTGGCCCTAGAACAGGTTCAGAAAAGCTTAACATACGAGGAATGTTTGAGGACCTGACAGCACAGCCTTACAGTAAAAGGAAGACCTTTCAGAACAGAGATAAGGAGAAACTTCTTCAGCCACAGAGTGGTGAATCTATGGAATTCACTGCCATAGAAGGCTGTGGAGGCCAGGTCATTGAGTACATTCAAGACTGAGACAGATAGGTTCTTGATTGTCAACGGGATCAAGGGTTACGGGAAGAAAGCAGGAGAATGGGGTCGAAAAACTTATCATCCATGATTGAATGGCGGAGCAGGCTCAATGGGCTGAATGGCCTAATTTCTGCTCCTACGTCTATGGTCTTATAATACTAATACAGCAGGTATGGTCTCAACAAGGCCCTTCAGAATTGCAGAATTGCTGGTGTATTCTAATCTTCTTGCTGTGAAAGTCAACATACCATTTGCCTTCTTCACTGCCTCCTGCACCTGTTTCAGCCATTTGTGTACAAGGAGATCCAAGTTTCACTGCATCTCTTTCCCAACATCTTGCCATTCAGATAATAGTCTACCTTCCACTTATTGCTACCAACATGGACAAACTCCCGTCTATCCACATTATGCTTCGTCTGCTATACATTTGTCCACTCATTCATCCTGTCCAAATGAACCTAAATATCTCAGAATCCTCCTCACGGTTCACTCCAACTCAGCTGTGTGTTGTCTGTACCTTTGAGAATTTCAGAAGGCCAAATAAAACAATGACCATAGATACTATAGTTAGATAGCCACATCATGTCAAATATAAAACTGGAATCAACATGTCCAAACCTCATTCTACAAAAGCTGCAGCCACTTCTAAAGCTAACTTAACCATGATCCCAGTAATGGGCATTACACAAAACACATGTAGCAGTGAAAAAACGTCTAGAATAAGTCTATTAGGGACAATGCAAAGACAGTATATATTTTGTTATTCAGTGAGTGGACACTGCTAGGCTAGAGTTTTGCTTTGAGAACCTCACATTATTTCGAACACCATGATGAATTAAATGGAAAGTTCAACATCAACTCACCCATTTGAAGTTTGATCTTGGTCTTATCAAGTAGGTAGATGAAGTGAGAAATAAGATTCCAGCCCCTCCAAGCAACTTCAAGTTCACATGAAATATTGAGCAACATGTCTATGTTTTCACATTTTTACTTTGTAAGTACATGCACCACATTTTCACTGCAATTACATGTTCAATAGAGTTCATAAACTTTGCACATGTGCAAAAAGGAGCACACATTATTTCTCACTCAAATTTACCACATCAAGATTAAAATCAGACTTTGAATAGGTAAGCTCTCATGTAATCTTCCCAGTTTAACCTAGGTTACCCAACCCCAATTGACTACCCTGTACAGAACATTCTACATTGTGTATAGCACACAAACTACAGTTGTTGAAATACATCTTCACAGTTTTTGATTTTGTTATTTAGTCATTATTTATCTGCCCAATTTTAGGGGATTGAACATAGCATTTACCATTTGTAATTAGAGAATATTGTGCACATAAGGAATTACTTTTCTAATCTTGATTTGGTTGTATCTACACTTGGGCCTTCTGCTGTGTAACGTTGTCAATATCTGATATCAACTTTAAAAATAACAAACAGGTCTCCCTCAAAATTTTAATGTATGCAAGTCTCAATTGGCTGTAATATTACAACACCTTTAATAAAATGAAGCTCAATGCTAATTTGTTAGGAAAATGAAAGCTTTGGAAATTCAACTTAGTGCAACAAATAAACATATAGCAAAAAAGGTTAATAATATGAGCTATTATACCACATGGGAAAAACACAAAACTTCTCAATCATTTAAAAAACAAACTACAAATATGGGCGTTTGTGTACATCTGCTGAGATACTTCAGCTCCACTAATTTCCAATTTGAAAAACATGGACACAAGCACATACATGCTGGCTTGCTCATGCCACTGATGCTATTTACCATATATGGCACTTAAAATTGCTGCTGTGAAAAACAATGGAGTATAGTGCTAAATGGTTCTTTAGTAATTGATTCAGGAATAATCAACTAAAATGCTACATAAAGGAAGACATTTCTAAAATGACATTGTTTGACCATCATTCAGTTGGTAGCAATTTTTCTTCATTTAAGATGTTACATAATTTCTCTGTATATACTTTGTTAGCATTAAGGACACCTCAGCCTAGAAAGAGTTCAGGTCAGTGTACTACCAGAGTGGCAATTAAAAGTTCGAGACTAAGTGAAATGGAGCACTCAGAATATTTGTCAGTCTACGAGTGGCTATTGGGACTCCAGAAGCAGATTTCCAGCTTTTCCAGCTTCTCCAGCTTCCACTTGAGTCAAATGAGGGGTGGCAAGGAAGAAGTATGAGCACAGGATACAGCATGTCGCTTTACCAGGGAAGGTTAAGCTAAAGGAAAATACGTCTGGTGGTAGCCTTCTAAAGGATCATTGCTTAGATTGCTCAATGTTGAGCAAATAAGTGTTGGCTATCCATCAATGAGAAAAGGATCTGAAGTATCCTTGAAGTTTCATAAGCAAAATATTGTCACAGCACAAAGAGCATCAGCTGTCTTTCAGTTACCCTTTCAGCACAACAATGACACACCAAAACCATTTCATCAGTTGCAAAATACTCAGGGATTTCAGGTGTTTGCATATAAACGTAACACATATACAAGGTGTTTTTTTTTTTTAAAATGCTCTTGGGACGTGACAACTAGCTTCACAGAATTGCATCTTTTTGTCCCCATTTATCAGACTAATTTGAATTCTGGAATAAAACAAAGATAAAAGTCCCAAGAGACTGAATCTCATTTTGGTTATCAGGGGAACTGAAACTGAATGTTATCTGGTTAGCAAAATGTTGGAGCACCGAAACCTAAAGTGGTAACAATGGAATTTAGCTTAACACTGCATTAGATCAGTTCTAAAGGTGCCCAAAGTAAGCATTTTTCTAATTCACCAAGTTTTGATCATTCAACTTCAGTTAAATGATTTTTCCAACTGTTAAACTCAAAGCTAAAATTCCAGGACAAGCAAAAAATGGACCTGCATTCATACGGTGCTTTCACAATCACCGTCTGACTCAATGTACTCTATACACAATCTAGGGTTTTATGGGCACTGTTATAATGTTGGAAATTGATAGCCAATCTGCACACAGCAAATGTCCATAAATAACAATGGGATAATGACCATAAATCTGTTTTTGTAATGTCATTTAAGTGATAAATATTGGCCAGTCAGCAGAGTCAATCACATTGCTATTCTTTGAGATAGCACCGGAATTGTTCTAAATCTATAGAAGCAGACAGATGGAGCCTCAATTTACCATCTCATCTGAGAAGTCACCTCCAATGCCAGTACTACAGTAGAGTGTTAGCCTTGATATTTGTGCTCAATCCCTAGTGTGGGGTTTGAACTTGGAAACTTGTAACTCAGGACAAGGGTGCTGAGTCACAGTTGATAAACTTGGGATGCAGTTATCAAAAGACAAAAGGCAATGTACCAAGATAAACCTATTTGGTAGAAATAGCAGTGAAATTCTGTTGATCTTGCACTCAACTTGAAGTTCAAGTTACGCAGCTGGTCTACCAACAGAATTAATTTCTACAAATAGCCCAGACAAACAACTATTTTTGTTGATGTCTAAAATTTTACTGAAATTCACAATTCGTCTTTTGTAAAGTCCATCTAAGAAATCTCTCTCATTATCAAATAGTCTGACCGTTAAATATTTTCAGGCTCAGTCGTTGCCTCTAACTCTCCAAAGTGATCCAGTTAAGAAATATCTTGGACTAGCTGTTGTTACTTTAACCACAGCTGCTCATTTTTCCATCCAGTTCTTTCAAAGCGGGGAGAAAATGTAATTGAAATTCAAAGAGCAGTTGACAGTCAATATAAATTGTGTCACTTACTTTAAATCTCTTGTCCTGCAAAACCTTCTTGATCGCCACCAGTTCCCCTGTGTCACACAGTTTCGCCTGGTAAACAACTCCAAAGGAACCATTGCCAATCACCTTGGTATCAGTGTAGCTGACCTCCTGCGGCCGATCTGGACCCTGTCCAGGTGTCGCCACCACTGTTGTCACCTTACTGCCATCTTTGTCTCCTAATCAAAAGGAAATCAGTTTGTCAGAGCAGTACTCAAAACTGGAATCCAATGACAGGCAATTATAGATGATGCACATCAGGAAGCAACTGCTTACTAAAAATAAATCAAAATGATGTTGGGCATATTACTAAAAATAAAACAAAAAAGTATTGGATATATAACACTTACATTTCTACTTTCCATTGTTATGTTAACCACAAAACAACCAATATCTCAAACAAATTCTATTTAAACTCACATGACTTCAAGCATTTATATTGAATGTGATCATTTCACTTTCTTCCACTTTATACAGCCCTGAGTGCAAACTGAATATTGGCATGCATGTTGTTATACAGATGTCAGAGATCTATTCTATTCTATTATAATCCTATTGTGCCGTTGCAATCATCACCATCCTCATCAGTCTGGT